TCATTGGCTCTTGTTCATATGGTATCTCTTGAAATGGTTGAACATTAACCATTTCCTTTTGGTACAATGACTCTGTGTATTCCTTCCATCTTTTCTTCATGCATTCTGCATCATTCAATAATTTGCCCAGTGAATCTTTCAATAACGAAAGTCGAGGCTTGAATTTTTTCTTCAGTTACCGCAGCTTGAGAAATACTGACCGTCTTCTTCCCTTTTGGGAAACATTTTTGTCTTTATTATCTTAAAACTGTTAAGTTTTAAGCTTGGACAAACTAGTAGGTTACATTTTTTTTAGACAAATAACAACTATTTCACTCAGATTTTTTTTTTTTTTTAATATTTTATTGTGTTTAAGATATTTTTGCTTTTGCTGCTAAGGATATTAAAATGTTGTCTTTATGTGTTAAGAACCTTTAAGCCCGTAGTGTGGCTCACATACCCTTTAATTAGGTAGTTTTGTGAATTTTTTAAAGGGAAGTTTCTTAAATTCATTGTTAATTTTAAATGGAAGCGTCTTAAATTTGTCACTTAATAAATGAAGTCTATAACTTTTAGCTATTTAGTTCTTCCTGTGCCCTTAATTCCTAAACGATAGCTTATTACTATAATGTTTTAATTTTAGCTCAAATAATTTCAGAACAAAATTTAAAATAGCACAGAATTCCATTATTTCCTTCATATAGATTCTGCAAATAATGTGGTTTATCTCACTCTCTTTTCTTGGAAAAGTTAGATATGATCTTTTTTTTTGCCTCATTTAATTATGTGGATTTTGTCAAGGAAAAGGCATTCTTATATAACTGCAGTACAAATTACCAAAATTAGGAAATAAACACTGATACATTATTATTACTTAATTAATGCAAGTAAGAAGATAGTGAATAAAGGTCTTTTCTAATCTTATATGTTGTTATTAAGTGTGGTTGAGTCGGCTCTGATTCTTAATAACCCTTGTATTGAGTATCCAAGGTGTGACTAGTCAATTTGAGCCATCAACTTTGCTATTCGTACTGACCTTATGGTCATGCACTTATCCTACAGTGCCACACCAGGACTCAATATAGTAGGGTTTTGTTTTCCTACTTACTTCTTTCTTTTAACATGAAAACAGATTTTTTTTTTTCAGGTCTTGAATATGTCGTTGGGACAAAATAATACTATAAAGAATCCTAAAAATCAGACAATTTTAAATTATTTATCTTAAAATGTTGTAGAACTTTAACTTTCTACTATATTTCACTGGAGTCCTGGTGTGGTTTTATAGGTTTTATAGGATACGCACTGGATTATTAACCTCAAGGCTGGAAGTTCAAACCAACCATCCACTTCTTGGAAACCTTATACAGGTTTGCAAATAGTCAGAACTGGCTCAATGGCACTTAACAATAACAACAAACATATTTCATTCCTTGTATATTATTGAAATGATTATAGAATCCTAGGATGCATAAATGCTATCTTTTTTGCTCCTTATTTATCAACATAATTTTCGCTCCTCATTTATCAATATAGTTTAATTCTAAGGACCAGGTTGATGAGCAAAAGTCGGTGTTATGTGAAAATGAAGGATGATTACATTATTTTATAACTAGTGGATTTTATCATTATTGCGTTGTTGTTGTTAAGTGCCACTGAGTCAGTTCTGACTCATACTGACCCTGTGTATGGTTTCCAAGGAACAGCTGGTGAGTATGAACTGCTGACCTTGCAGTTCAAAGTGACTTTGAAGTTTAGTGCATTAACCTGCAGTGCCACATATGGCAGAAAATACCCCAAAACTCAACTGCCATCGAGTCAATTCCAACTAGTAGCAACCCTGTATAAGATTTCTGAGGCTGTAAATCTTTTTTGTGAACAGAAAGCTTCATCTTTCTCCTGTGGAGCGATTGGTGGGTTTGAACGGCCAAGCTTGCAGTTAATAGTCAAGGCAGTGGCACTAGGACAGAAAATACTACGAGAATACTTGAGAATCATGGCCCAGCCATGTTGACGTGTAACCTTAACCATCACAGCCAGCATTACTCTCTCCTTGTACCTCAGCATTCATTACTGCCAGATGTACTTTATTAATGTAGTCAGGAGTTTTAATAGTTCACATATCTTAATACTGTATGTAGAATCCTAAATTTCTTCTCTTTCCCAGTAATTATTTTTATGATTTCATATTTTTTGTTTTTTCTTTTCTTTTCTTTCTTTCTTTTTTTTTAAACAAAACAACAAGAGTCAGTGATGGAGAAGATAACCCTAAGGATGCACAGACTCAACCAGAGATGGCATCTTCACATCTCAGTGTTGGCAATTCCAGTGTCAAACTGGCAAGCACAGTGGAGAAGCATGCTGAACGCACTAGTAGGTCTCCAGGTGAAATAAGTGTTCCAGTGGACAGCAGCTTACTTTGTACTTTATCATCAGAACCTCATCAGAATGCAGCTATTAATGGGAATGATAAAAAATCTAGTAACTACAAATCTGTACTGCTGCCAGGTGTGAGCACTAGCTCACAAGATTTCATTCTCTCGGACCAGGAATTATACAACTCTTTCCATTTCTGGAGGACTCCTCTTCCTGAGATCGATATAGATATAGAACTTGAACAGGACTCTATGGAGAAACTCATCCCAGAGAGACCAGAAGAAACTCCTGAAGTTACTATGCCATGTTCTCCAAATACTACCATGGCCACCAGAAAGGAACTTGAGGAAATGATAGAAAATCTAGAGCCCCATATTGATGATCCAGATGTTAAAGGTATGAAAGACTCATCAAGTTACTTATTTGTACTAAAGTTGACATTTGTTCTTTTTTTAATCTTTTTTTTTTGAGGAAAAAAATGCTTCTTTAAAAATTCATTATGATTATAATCATTGTTAAGTGCTGTTGAGTCGGTTCTGACTCAGCAACCCTGTATAGGGTTTCCATAGAACAGCTGGTGGATTTGAACTGCCAGTCTTGTGGTTAGTAGTCCAATACTTATCATACTGTGCCACACCAGAGCTCTGATTATAGTCATTATGTATTATTTTTTTTAATGTTTTATTGTGTATTGAGTGATAGTTTACATGGGGGAACATTAGTTTTACATTCATTCTATCATACATCATTTCATTGCCTTAGTTACCATCCCGTCCATGCATCATAATCCAATGAAAGGGTATACCCTGCAAGCCTGACCCCCCTCCCCGCCCCACGGTCCTCAGCACACAGCCCCTTTCCCTTTCTGGGTCTCAACTCCCCAGGTACTCCATCTCTTCACGTCATCCTCTCTGTCTCCATCTCAGGCCTCACTGCTTCTCTGGGTGGGGTCCCACTCTTCGCTCTTCTCCGTTGATGGTCCCAGGGCCCTCCGCTTCTAGACTGAAAGGTTAGTCACTTCCCTCCTTACTATAAAATATCCGCCTTTACATTTCTAGCCCTCACAGTCTGTCCTGGTAACAATTCTTACCATTGCATCACATGAGACCCATCTGCATTTCTTTTCATCATTCCTTCCTAGACAGGTTGGGTGCCATTCACTGGAGACTCTATGATCCTCCTCGTCCTGTGGATCTAGGTTCCCTCTTGAAGTTATTATGTAGTCTTAAATTCACTTGCTAAACATGATTTATCAAATATTTAGGAAATCTTATTTTAAATAGGTTCATTATTGCAGCACGGTCTATGTAAACATAAATAAGGTCTTGATTCATAAATCACACTGAAATTTTCACACCAGTTAAACTATGTTTTCCGTTAACAATTTTAAATATTGGCTCTTGTGTAATGTTACTGGCTTATAGTCTAAGCAATGGGCAAAGATACTTATTTTTATATATGATTAAGTGTTGTGGGTTTTATCCGACTCCTTTAGATTTATCTCTTGGTTTTGACTTAACATAGAGTCCTTTATTATGAACAGCAGCCTTAATAGCTATTTTGTCTTAAAATGTCTCTGATTAAGTGGGATATGTGTTCTAAGTCAGTGTGGATAATGAGATGTGTTAAAACATTCCCCATATTCTACTTCTTTAGGCTTGGGAAGCATTGTAAAGTCAGTGAGGCTAGAAATTGATAAAGATGTTCTCGGTCTGTTCCCTGTAAGACTACTTAGGGAAGGTCTTCGGTGTGAACATGTGAAATGTTTAAACAACAAAAAATTTTTTTGAAAACCTTATAGCTACAAGTTTTCAGATTTTAATTCACAAAGTGAATTTGTTAACAGCAATATTTTTTAAAAAATCTAAAATTTCTAAATTAATAGTTTTTACAATGTCAGATACAGGACTGGAAGGTGGGAAGGCACTCAGAATGCGACTGGGGTAAAAAATGCCTCCTCAAAGTAGGGTTGACCATAATGACATGAATACAGTTAAGTTCGGGGGAGAAAAGTGCACAGAACCTGCATTTGCTGATGGGCA